CGAATTCGCGGAACACGTCGAACGAGCTTCCGCTATACAACTATATTCTCTACAAACTATCGTGTTTCCGGGAACGTCCGTTGATAAACGGATCTCACCTGTATCTAGCAGCTGGTCGCGTCTGCTCTAACCAGATTGCACCGCAATCGATACATCAATCCCAATTAACCCGGCGTTTCGCTCTCCGCAAACTAGACGACGACTCGCGTACAGTCAGCGGATTGCGAAGTAGCGCGTCTCTTTCACGATCTGGCCGACTTCGTTGGTCGTTTTTCTCTCGCGTTCTTCTCGCGAAGTAGAAATACGCACGTACGTAAGATAAAAGTACCAATGCCCCAATACCTAATTCTGGATATTCTTATTGTTTTGACTCTTAAATATAAATATTCAAGCTTTCAAAACATAAAACATGTATATGCATATTTTACACTTAAAATTTAAATATTCGTACTTGACGGCACAAAATACGTGTATATATATTATTTATATTAAGTTTAAATATTAGTGATTAAAAAGATCAAAACAAATATCTAATATTAGGCACGTGTCCGGGACTTTTATCTCACGGTACGAGATAATTCTTTCCTTTGACCATTATGCTTCTCGGAAAAAAAGATGTTCAGACACGTGTTTCTTCGTGAACACACAAAAAAATATAGAGCATCAAGAAACAGGAAAAAGAATCAAGAGAGTATTTCTTTCACTCGACTTCGAGTGGATCTTTCCCCGGTGAAAATTTAATCAGACACGCGCTGTCCTTTCTCTTTCTTTCCTCAGTACAATTTCCTACATTAAATATCCTACTGATCAAGCGTGAAATTGTGGTTTGCATTCTTTCAATTACTTGTAATTCGAAAGGACTAATATAATTCCGACACGAACCTACAGACTTTCAACGGAAGATGCAGGTTTAAATACTTTTCTTTCGGACACCCTATACACGCGAGTAACCTCTCTCTTTCTCTGCCGCGTACATAGGTAGATAGGTAGGTAGGTTACGACCGGTCAGTAAAACCGACCGACGGATGAATGGCGACAAGCCGCGAGTGATCGCGAGAGTGAGGAATGCGGCGGCCTCCAGGACGTAAAGGAGGCCTTCGCTCGTTACGCAAATACGTGGAGATCTACGCGCGACGGGAGCAGCTAGGGTTGAGCAGTAGGAGACGGTGAAGGAAGAGGAGGAGATGATGAAGAGAGAGAGAGAGAGAGAGAGAGAGAGAGAGAAAGAGAGAGAGAGAATGAGAAGGAAGAGGAGGGTGACGACCTTGGCGAAAAGAGCAGACCTCGCCGCATGTTCGATGACCTACAGGCAAGGTGGGCGTGGACGTTGCGGACAGGTAATCTGATAACATCGTTCATTACACATCCAGATCGCAAATTCGCGAAGCTACATGGGAGGGAGCCTCGCTCTCTCGTCGAAGCGATATCGAACCGACGGGGTTCACATATATCAGAAGCTATGAAAAGTTAATCGGCACAAGAAGGCGCTCCGTGGCTGCCGCTATTGTTCTCCTCTGGTGTATAAAAATCGATAAAACGGCGCGTATCGATACGTAAAAAAGTGTCGCTATAAAAATCAAAACGTGTCGCGCGGGTGACACACCCGATTCGTAAATTCGTGAGGCGTGATAGAGGGTTGACTGCAACGACAGTATAATATATAAAAAATATATGAATACGTACAAGAATACATACACAAATATATGCACAATAAATGAAGCAGAATATATGAAGAATATATAAGTATCCTGAGAGAAAAAGAGAGAGAAAATACCTGAGACATAAAAAATATTTATTTATTCGGTGGGAACTATATATAACAGCATATATTTTTGCTTACGCTAATATAAAATACTTTCCAAATAAAAATATGTACATTTTCTCAAAACCTTAATTTTTTTACGAAAACTATTGTTTATTTCATTTAAACAAAACAATTTTATCATAAGAATTATATTTAAAACGTAAATATGTGTTACCAATACCCACCGATTATTTTTTTTCTTAGATATTTCTTTCTCTCACAATGTATAAAATTATATAACATATTTAGTATAATAGTTCATCTGGTGTTCACGAACGTTAAAGTTTCAGTGTAAAACATTTCATCAAGTCATCAAGTCAAATCGTCGTCAATAACAAATTACCAAAATGGAAAAATAGTTCTCCAAGGCTGTCAACATATTTATTATACAGTTACAGTCTACGTTTGTGTCTACAGTCATACGAGGGATCTCAATGTCACAAAAGGAGCCATCTATTGACGAGCGCGTAAAGTAACTTTTTTCCGGAAACAAGATAACTCCTCCATCGATACGTAATCGAAATTTCTACGATAACAGGAAGCACAGTGTGCCTTATCTTTCGTGATTTTCACGAGAGGGGCCGTGAAAATCTCGGACGTGAATAATATTCACTTGAAATCGCTGACTGCAAACACAAATGTATTTGCAACACACGCAAGATCGCTCGTCTCGCGGATTGCCGCGGTTTTGTTCATTTATCTGTTCATTTATATGTATTACGCGGACGCGCATGGAAGCAAAGGTGGGCAACCTTTCAAGCGGCGTGCCAATAAATAACGTTATTACTTAACTCACGCGATTCTTACGAACGGGACGCCAAGTCCGGCGCCGCGAAATACCTTCGCGCAGTATATTGATCTCGGCGGCCAACACACGTCGCGATAATTACAAATTTTCCGACTACGCGCTCCCAACGCGCAATTAACGCGTTGTCGCCTACCTTCCGCGAAAATGTGAGAACATTGCGGTCACGTCGCAAAATGAGCACAATGTTACAAATAGTAGCAGAGGAGCGTTCCGTAAATAAGGGTTAAAAAAATCGCGAAAGAGAGATAGAGGAAGAGCGAGCGAGCGAGCGAGCGAGCGAGCGAGTGCGCGAAAGACAGAGAAATAGAGAGAGAGAGGCAGAAAAGCGATCGATGCGAATCGTCGTCGGACGAGTGAGTGAGCGAGCGAACGGAGCACCCATCGCTCTTCCTCCCCCTCATACCGATCGTCACCTCTCAAGTATTCCAGTTATCGTCCGACTGATAAGCAGCGAGCCGCGAGATATCCTTTTTTCCACGATAGCCCGGCAACGTGTGAAGAATTTGGTCGCCGGTCGCGAAAGTAACATGGCGGCCGCGAAAGACGACGACGGGCACTCCTCTATATCTATCTCGCTCTCTCTCTCTCTTTCTCTCTCTCGTGCGCGTCTCGTGCGTCATCGGTGCGGCAAGCGACTGCCTTCAGACCGTCGATCGCGCGATGTAGCAAAGAGAAAGAAGGAAGGAAAGAATAAACTAACGAGCGAATGAATCGCACGTATGATCCCCTCACCGCTGGCGTGTCGTCGCAACGACGACATCCCCGTTCCCGACATGTCCCCGCGGAATAAAATTTCACTCGATTTCACCGAGACGCGACATCGCGGCTCGAGAGAGCGGAGGATTCACGCGACGTAATTATCACCGGCGAAATTCCGACAACGAGCCGTCGATGTCGTCGTCGTCGTCGTCGTCGAAGCTACATGGCTACGGGGCTCATACGGGCCGTGTTACGGCGCACGTCGTCGCAATTTGTCGAGGCTGCGTCGCGCGACAGCGACCGCGTCGACGAGACGACCGACGTGCGAGCGTACGCGCCGGTTACGAGGCAGAAGGGACTCACCTTCGGAGTGCTGTAAGCGGCCTGAGAAATCGAGCTTTCGGCGTGTTCAACGGCTACCGTTCACTACGCTCTCGCTGAGTGCACTGCCGCGACCAACGGAAACCGCCATCTTGCCGGGCGCCCTCACGCCCGCTTCCGCCGCGCCGCGGCGCGCAGGTTCGAATCATCTGATCGCGCCGCGCATACGCCGGGTGACACAGCAAAATAGGAGTTATTCTGTAAAAGTAATTAGATCGAACAGAATAGATAATTAATTGTACTTGTGAGAAGAGAAATTGTTGTTAGATATTGAGTGAATTATACTTTATTTGGAAATAAAAGGAAGAAAGGATACTGTCAAGATAAAGTGACAACATGTATGATCCATCCTTGAGTAATACTACTTGGGCTGCGTTCCGACGTTCACTGTCAGTATTGGAAATCTGTAGTATACGTAACATGAACTATAGATTCTTAGTACTGATAGTAAATATTGGAACATAGCTTTGAGAAGAGAAAATTAACTTCAAAGCAATAATTGAGTCATATTGTGACCTCAGTTTTCTGTTGAGGAATGTGGCGACTCGTAGTGGAGGTTTTTGAAATTAGATCTCAAAACGAGACTCGATTCATATATATCGATTTATCAATCGATTGTAGCTTTTGTCGAATGTCGAAAAATCTATAATATATATAACATGAACTATAGGATTTTAGCATGTGTATCTGATTCGCATTACGTTGAGAATCGTTACACTGCTCTTTTTAGCTGAATCGGATTACATTGAAATTTTGTACCTTTTCTCTTCAACACGAAATTATATATTTATTTCACTCCAAAGGCAAGAAGTGCAACCCAATTCGACTAAAAAGAACACGTAAAGGCTCAATTCCACAACTTATTTTAACTGGCGTTTTACTTGTAAAGGCCTATACACACACATACACAGAGAAATTTCTATTGTCGTATTATTCGTACTAGAAAACCTCTAAAAGAAAGAATCGCCAACGTGGTAATGTGACCAGCTGATTTGCTGGCATAAACATTGATAAACATGTACGGATTTGGACATTGCTACGTCAATGCAGAATAGATGGTCATTATTATATATATATATAGTTTTGCATTGGCGTCGCAATGTCCTGGTCCGTGGGAGCGTCCCGATTGATCACGGTACGATTGGACACAACCAACCGATGAAAGAATTATCTAGTGAATTACTAAGTCGAACCAATCATTACAATCTGTGTCCAATCGTATCCTGGTCAATCGGGTCCCATCCCTGGTCCGTATATGTTTATACCAGCCAATCGCAGAGTAGCTGCTTGACAATTCTCTTTACTAAGGTGCGTTTGAAAACTTCACCCGGGTGCTTCTCCTCTCTCTTTATCTCACTTTTGTATCTTTCTCACTCCAATACAGCGAGTGCACCCGGATAGAATTTTCGAACGCACGCCTAGAGGTTCTCTAATTCATACACAAGGAAATCAACCAATTGTGGTTCGTACAATAAAAGTGCTTCTTTATATTAAACACGTGTTATATTTATTAGTTAATTAAGTATTTTAGTAGATTAGTTAATTTCCTTGTGTATATGAATAATATGATTATGCAAATTTATCTGAATAGGACTTTAATAAATTAAATTTCAGTTGAAATAAGTTGTGGAACTGGGCCTTAAAGTTGTAGCACGTGTAACACTTGGCTGAGAGGATTTTAAACTCTGAGAGATAATAATTTTTTTACTTGTGAGAGAATTCAGCTTCAGAAATGCCGAAGTCAAAAAGAGACAAGAAAAGTAATTCTATCAATTTTTATAGTACACTTTCTTAGGTGTAATATTACAAAATATGAATAGCTTGTGTTAACCTCTACAAGCATATGATTTTGTATACTACATGTAATGTTGAAGTTAGATTTTACTTTTAATTTTTAATTTTTAGTTTTTAGATTTTAATTTTTAGTTTCTTTTTCTTTTTCCTTTTCTGTAATCTAGCATATGTTCTATATTTTGATGAATATTAAGGTTAAATATGCTTTTTCTTTGTATAGCTTGTTTATATTTGAAAATACAGACATTACTCAGGCTTTGCACTCCAACAAAGTGCTATCCTATGCATGGGTCACATTGTATATTTAATATTTCATAGTTGATGTTATTGCAGAATAATTTAAGTAATTTTACTATTATGATATAAGATTCTTCTGGTACCATTGTAGTAATATTGTAAAACAATATACACTATTTAAAAAAATACCAAAGATATTTGCAATATTAATTCAATATTTTTGTTCTAGTATCTCTTACTAATACCAGTAAAAAAGGTTTAGTTTTGAAGCAACGTATTATAGAAGATGTTAAGAAATGTGTGGAGGATTACAATCGTGTGTTTTTAATCTCTATTCAAAACACACGCAATACTAAGCTACTAGACCTGCGTGCCGAATGGAAAGACAGTAGACTTTTCTTTGGTAAAATCAGAATAATTGCATTAGGCTTGGGAAAATCACCAGAGACTGAAGTTGCAGATGGCATCCATAAATTAGCTAATGTAATGAGGAATCATACAATGAGAGGTCAATGTGGTCTATTATTCACCAACAGATCAAAAAAAGATGTATGTATAAGACTAAATTGTTACATTAATTTAAATTTAAAATTTTTATATAAATTAAACTTTAACTTTTATCATAGAAACTTATAATAGATACAGCCATACCACAAAGTAATTCACATAAGCAAAAGATTATATTGTATTTGTATTGTTAATGATGCACAGGTAATAGAATGGGCGAATACTTATGAAGAATTAGAATATGCACGTGCTGGATTTATAGCACCTAATTCAATAGAATTACCTGAGGGACCACTACCACAGTTTCAACATAGTATGGAGCCACAGTTGAGACAGTTGGGTATGCCTACTGCATTGCAAAAGGGAGTGATTAATTTAATCAAGCCATACAAAGTTTGTCAGAAAGATGATGTGCTAACATCGGAACAGGCACAAATTTTGGTAGCTAACCTATATCTATTGTACACACTGAGTTCTTTAATACATTGGAATTTTCAAAATATTAACTCTCGACGAATTTTACAGAAATTATTAGATAAACCACTAGCAGTTTTTAAATTGCTACTACTGGGAGTATATACAAAAAAAAATGGTTTTAAAAAACTCACAGTACCTGAAGATACAAAAGAGAATGATGAAGAAGAAATGGATGTGGAGAAAGATAATGATACATGAAATTTATATATTGTATAAATAGTTTTAAGAAATAAAATATATTGAAATGTATGCACACTTCTTTATATAATAAGAGTATATGAATGTTATTACTTTTAATATTTATCCTCTTTTTCTTGACAAATTAAAAAACCCACACAGTAAATCTTTGTCATGAAATTATCTCATTTAGATATCAAAGAAATAACAAACGAACATTTGATAACCTACAATTCAAATATATGTTAATAAAAATTCTTAGTATCACAAACATGAAATAATTTCATGAAACATATCATAAAACAAAATTCATATTATTTGAATGAAATATGGAGTTGCTAGCTTTAACTATATTTTGGATAATTTGTATAATATGGGTAAGTGAAAAAATATTTTTTTTACATCTTTCTCTACAACATTCTCATGCAATATCATATGTTACACCACATTTCTTCATATATATGAGAATTTCATTCATTATATTTTTTAAATGATGTAGGCTATATATTATTGGTACTGGGATTCAAAACAAGACAGCAATAAAGTGTCTAAAGTAATTCTTGATCACTATCCTGATAATAGACACAGCACATCTTCCATCGAGTCTTTAGAGTACTCAGATAATGAAAATATTAGAAGAAAAAACATGCAGAAATTAAAATACGAGGTATATTATTAGTGTAAGACATTTGTTTGCAAAATATTGTAAATCATATTTACATACAACATGAATATAACCCATAATTTCGGTAGTATGAAATACCATCCATAGTAAAACATTATAATAGATTTATCACAATATAAGATATTAATTATTTCAGACTAAAACTCGTTGGCCAAGTAGAACGTACGTAAGAGCGAGACGCAATAACAAGTCGTGGTAACATATTTATTGTGTTTATCATGTTAAGAATGTTTTGGATATTTATGCTATATATTTGCTTACCAAACTTTTTTTGGCAAAAGTGATAAAGTTGCTAAAGTGGTAAAGAATCCGATTTTACATTTAGATACTTGAAAATTTGTAATAAATAAAAATATAGTTATAAATAAACATTTTTTTATGATTTTATGCAACTGAATAGCATTAACCATTCATTAACATTTGTATTTTCACTGACGGAAGCACTTTCAATTTGATGTATCCAATTGTTGACTCTGGTAATATAACCTTGGTCAACAAATTGACATCGACCACAAAATTCAATATATCACACTACCTGACTGATACATACCTTAAAAGTTTGAAAGAGGTCTGAAAATGCAACGACGATTTTATTTATTTAAAATTGCCGTTTTTTTCTGAGGATTTGGCAGCTGCCCGATAGATGAAGAAAAGTATTAAAAAATTATAGTGAATATAAAATAACGGTCCTATTTATAGGTCATTTAATGTTAGAGTATTTCATTCATTTACATAGATTTGTCGACCAAATATTAAGAGAAACTGCTTATACAGGTATACTGATACAAATATACTGATATTTCTTAAATATTAACAATGTTTGTTAAAGTAATTTTGGAATACAATGGCAAAAGAACTAAAGAATATAAAAATATTTTGTCCGTGTTTTAACCATAATATGTATATCATGAATATTTCATGAATTTTAATATATAATGAATCAAGCTTGACCCGAAATTAGAACCGTTACCTCTCTCTTTCTCTTATTTCAAACGTTAATATGATTTATTATTTTCTTGTAAATAAAAACTCAATTTCTTAAAAAAAGTACCAAATTAATTTGCGCATCTAATATATTTCGACATAAAATTGAAACAAGACAAAAAACATTTTAATTCCTTGTTGCACAGAATTTTTATTATTATGATCAAATGATAATTCGATTATGATGAAGTAGCCATTTTTGTGGTTTTTATTGTTCATGTTTTCAAAGGATACAAGACATACATTTACTACATATAGAAGCATAGCGATGTGCTAATACTGCTAAGACAAGAGAATTAAGTAAACTGAATTCGATGAAACATATTACATATTATGAGAATGAGATCATCTTACACAATTGTTATTGACACAAAGCTCAATCGACACTGCATCATTCCATACATAATACCAATTTTAACATTATCATGTTGTGTATAAAATTATTATCAAATATTTTCTATTACGTAGAAATTAATTTTATTTAGTAAGGAGATATCATATATAACAATTCTCCAATTGTACAAACATATTCACTTTATGTAATGTTATTTCGAGTTTTCAAGTTTAAATGTATATATCAAAAAATTGAAAATTCTATTAGTTTTATACAAAGTACAACTGTATGTTATGATAATACATAACTAAATTATAAACAGAATCAAAAGGAATTACAAAAAGACTGGATTTATTTGTACTCAAAGTAATGAATCATAACAAAACAAATAATATAATGCTACAAATTAAATATTTAACAATTACAAATATATAATACAAGCTTATTTCGTATAATATACACATTATACATTAAAATAATTATTAAATGAAACTGCATTCTCAAACAAGAATACAAAATCTATACATAATATCTAATTCCCAAATTCCTCCACTAAACTTATAAACTTTTCTGTGCTACATCACATTTGACTAAACAAAAATATTTAAAACTATCTGTAATTCGTTCGATAATTTTTCTATATCATTGCATTGCGACGAGCGCATCATCACTGACTACAAGTGCTTGTGTAAATATATACATTAATAAGAATCAGATAGAAAAATTAAACTAAAATCGAAGCTTATTTTATCATACAGATATAGAATTTGTATTCTATAGATAAATTATGTTTCGATCCTAACTTTATTCTTCTATCTCTTATGAAAATGTATATTTACATAAACATTTATAGTTTAATTATTACCTAATAAGATAATCTATTGTGAATGTAACTCTATCCTCTTTGGTTGGATGTAATTGTACCTTTATTACTTCAATGGCATCACTTTTGAGAAGCATGAGGAACGAACCAGTCGACTATACTTTTAAATTTAATCGAGCTAAAAAAAGAAAAAAAACGACCATTTAATCTATATGTCAATTATATTGTTTAGGTAACGTACGAAAGACAAAGGCTGGTAAAATGTAATATTACAAAAATCATAATTAGAGAGGACAATTAAATAAATTAAAATTATATCACGCACGATTTATGGAATACGGAATATAGGACACGTTCATATTTCGTGGGATTACGTTAACGCTGACGTTCAAAGGAAATCCACGTCTGTATACATTATCTACTTTGTAAGCCCTAGTTTGATCAGAAATATCACAATGTAAATGATATCCGTTCAAATATGGCAATTTCACAGCACGCTAACTTAATCGAGATCTCATACAAAAATAAATTACGATTCTCCGAATAAAAATAGGGAACGTAAGCGATGTATAAATACTCCTACTAACTGCCCACTAACATATCTTATATGCTAATTATGATGATACACTATCACTAATTACACTAAGCAAAATTCCAGCGCAGCTCAATGTAGAAAATTCACAGCATGTACGCAGACAATTAAAATTGCTTGTATAAAAGTCGCGCGCGCGCGCGCGCGCGTGTGTGTGTGTGTGTGTGTGTGTGCGTGCGGTGGTGGCAAGCAAGGCTCTTTAGCGCAATGAGAATGTCATTATGAGAATGAATACATAGATGACTCGTGCTGCACGCAAGATCATGAAATTTCTTATGGATATCAATTTTTTGAAGTGTATTTAATACCGAACCCGACGGCAATTATCGTTTATAGGAGAGCTTGAGAACCATGTCAAGCATTGTGTGTACAAGATTTACTTAAGTTCATCTGAAGCATACTTTTATCGTATCTAATTACTAGGCACGCTGTGTACATTGACAGGTGTGATTAGATCCAATTAACACATGGAATACACGTATATTCCAACACAAGAACTGTTTATTACTTAAATGTATAACGAAGTTGGAATGTTAAGCTTGAATAAATTTTACCCTTTATATCATCTACATAATGAATCCATAAAAGTATTACCAAAGCAATTTAGTTGATATTTTCTTTCTCTCTCTCTTTCTCTCTCTTTCTCTCTCTCTCTCTCTCTCTCTCTCTCTCTCTCTCTCTCTCTCTCTCTCAACGACTTAATATCCAAATAATATGTTTACATTTGACGAAAGCTTGAATAAGTGAAATACATTCGTATTTTCGAGATTCCTAACATGTTACATGGATAATCACACCTGCCAAGGCCACTACGATCGATGCACAGGGTATAAAAGTTAGCTTAAATATAACGACGATGGTTCGTGGTATAAGCGAATGACTGGTTGCGGAATAGAGTGAGTCTCCTAGGTAGCTTGAGTTTGAGCATAAAGTTCTTCGAGTTTTGGTACTTCAGGAATCGGCTCCCGCCAATATGCGAAGTTGCTGAACTCGTCAGCCGCATCCTCGCGCCATGCCGGGAACAGATGATCGACGATGAAACTCATGTTCGAATATCTGCAACGAAAGAAAAAGAATAAAGATTATTAAATACGTATGCCACAAGTTCGTCATAATGTCCGTCAATATGGCTGAAACAGGAATGTTTCAACTATCCGCGCGTGCCCGTAACCCGTTTATATAAAATTAATCAATACACGCGAACCAATGCGAAAACGAACGTAGTGAGAATTCTGTCGTATAAAATGTTGCTCAGCACGTAGATATTACACTGTTGTATGAAATAAATATATACGAATGTTAAACGAGGCTGGATTCGAATATGAAGCTTGTACAATGCGATAAATGGAGATACTTAGTATATATATAATGTAAACTGCGAGGAGGATGATTATGCTCCGTTAATCACACAAGTCATATTCGGTCATGAGCGAAACGAAAACCGAAAGAAAATAATGGGAGTGTAGCTGATAAGCTATGATCGACGGTACAAATGTGGAGAAACAGCAGGATTATAATTTATGATCGATAGTGATTATGTGTGCGTCTCAAGTGCTCAGTCAAACAATTATATGAATGGTAAATAAATGAAGAAAAAATGAGTCGGACAGAAGCTTGACGAACGCTTCCCGACATTTACATTCTTTCTTCTATCGTTCAAGTGACAATGCTTCAAAACGTTATGAATTGTCAACGATAATCCTTCTCAACTCTGCCTGAAACTGCATGAGAAGTGCGAGTTGTTTCCTGGTGATAAGATGTTAGGATGACTGAAAATCAAGGTGTGTCAAAGCGGTGACAAGAAGCGAGTGGTACAAACAAGTGCTTACCCTATAAATCATAAGAAGGTAGATAGGAGTTGTCGCACAACCAAATATCCCAAAACATAGTACAGTGATACTAGAGCAACTAATTGCGTTTTATATATATTAAACTGAACGTATGCGTATTGAAAAATTCAAATTTCTCTCCTGACTGTCATATCGCTCGCGTGTTTTCTCATTACAGTGCGTAAACACGTGCGTCTTTGTACCATGTCAATTGTTGGAAGATGAAGAGCGCAGATTGCGTTATACGTGGCGGTGTTCCAAGTATAACGCAATGACGCGTCAAACGCAGTTGGACATCGTCGATGTTACTGTGCGTTACTTCAAAAAACGATTGCAATTCGATTTAACTCGTACGCCTGATTAAAACTACGAATATGGTTGTGCCGTTATCAGTAGACGTTTGGCATGGGTTGTGGCGGGAACAACTCATTGACGATATTGGACTGACACGCGTAACTGTAATCACAGAAATATCCGACCTATCAATAACTTCTGTGAAAAAGCTTGTACTTTCTTCGCAACCAATAATTTCATTCCTTTAATGCTTAAGCGCTTACCACAGTTTAGTACAAAACAATATATCCAGTTTGTTTGTTACTTTAAGTCTCCCCGAAATGCTTAAGATAAATAATTCAGATCGTAAAAGTTTGTTAGTAAGTTCTGCATACGAAAGTTAGTTTACAAAAAAAGTTTAACAATTCAGCAGTAAGATTCCAATGTTGTGTTAGAGTCATGCGATAAAGATTGCAATTAATCTTGATTAATCATCTTGAGTATCATTTGTAGATAACATATAACTTCACTAACGATAATACATAGATAATACATATAACATATAACTTCACTAATGATAATACATAGATAAAAATAACAAAGTACTATGCGTATCTAATAGAATAGGTTACTCAAAAGGAGAACTATTATTCAGAAAGTTTACCATGGTAATAAGAAATGCTATCATGCAAAGAAACGAATCCCAAGATTCAAAGCTATGGAAAATCAAGTAATACAACATTATGTCCACGATTATTTGAGCAATAGTTAGAGATGCATACGATTCCATTCCCTAATTCTGCTATTACATGCTCCTTTTTACAGAAAAGAAATCTCACAAAGTGAGTTTATTATTTTAATAAATGATTAACAAGTAATGCAGTACTTACGAAGATTGGAATGTTTGTGTCAGCTCGTGCTTTAATTCTCCTCGGTGATTTATGGTAAAGATCCGCATTATAGGAATGCTTACTGCTCGATATGCCCACACGTCCTGCATGTATAAAATAATTTTTACATACAGTTCGTTGTTTATATTACGATTAACAATTGATAAAATATCGTTCCACCTACATTAATTCGATTTCCATATCCAGCATAAAATGGCTTAGAATCTTCAGGGAATAACGCTTGAATATCACTGAGACAAGATATCTTGAACTCCTCTGGTTTTTTCTCGATCACTTCACGGTGAAACGCTGAAATTAAGCTGGTGGGGTTCAAAAGCAAGGGGCCCTCTGGCAACGACAGGTCCCCCTGCCTTATGCTCTTCAGATATTCCCTGGTAACCTTAGCTTGGCCGATTGCTCTCGCCGATAGGTAAAGAAGCTTGTAGCCGTTGTTTTTGATTTTCGTGAACAGTTGAGCGACTCCAGACTGAGCCCAGTCTTTGCCAACTATTGGTAAAATGTGACCCAAAACATCCGATTTCGTGATAGTGCCGTCGATATCGGAGATGACGATCTTGTCGTCCCACTTCCACTTATAAATATGACACTTGCAGCGAGTTGTGCCCTGGTAAGCGGTGGTGACGCTGAAGACCACTTCGTTAGGACCATCTTTTAGACCGAGACTCGCCTAAAAAAATAATCGAAACTTATATATTTTTTTTATTTTCAAGCAATAGTTAGTTATTATAATATTAACTTAGTTAAAAAAACTTAAAACTAATCATCTTATACAATAAGTACAAGCACAGCTATCATTTCGTTGAGAAGCAATTTGTCTCCATTGAACGCGATAAAGAAAATTTGACTAAACAATTAAATCAAATTGCTTGATTAAGTCGATACTCTTGATATACGAGTATGTGAAAATACTCACTATCTGCTCGGATGACAGTCGCAAAGTTTTACGATACTTCTCTGTGGACTCATAATACGATCTTCTTTCTATGGGCATCTTTATACCGGGTGGTTCGTTCTGGTTGCTGTCGGAGTCCTCGCTACCACTGTAACCTTCGCCTTCTCTCTCACGCGCCTTCTCAGTTTTCGTGAGTGTAGTTTCCTTGCTTGCGGATGTCAATCTCGTACATGTCTCTATAGCTTCGGGTGTATTTGACGAATCTATAGTTTCCTCAGTCTTTGCTTCTCTATAAAATATAATTGATAGAATTAAAAAAAAAAAACGAAAAACCGAATCATGAAAGCAAATCGAGAAGTAATTAAGAGATCTACCTGTTAGTAGGAGGTACTTCTTCGTTTATCGCGGCCTTTGCTTCCAACGATTGTTCGGACGTTTGCATGGCAACTCCATCGGCTGTAAGAAGATTGACAGAAATGTTAAAAACATTTATATAACGTATATATAAGATATCGTGAAATAGATAATTAATAAGCAATTATAATTTAATTTCGAAGTATATGCAATTGCGATATTTCTATAAAAAAGAATCTGCAAGTTTGTTAGTACAGGATGAAATCCAATAAGCTTACTTTGACTAATATCCTGCGATTTTTTAGTAGGTTGTGTGGAACGTCTCCAAGAGAACCACGAGCTGTATCCGCTACGGCTTTCAGGCTTGCCACTGTTCTGTTGTTTCTTATTTTCGTGCATCAGTAACGGCATGTACAGATTTTCGATCGTACTCTGCGGTAAGTGTCTTTGGAAAACGGCGTAAGTTATTACTATCGGACAGGCTGTGGCCCAGTTGTAGAATTTTCCATTGATTTTCACGACCAAGTTAGGATTCTCGTACAATTTCGGATCAGCACAGACATCTTCAAACTGCAGTAAATTTTCGTGAAAAGCTTCCTTGGATGGTCCGTTCTCGCTGTCCAGACCACCGCACAGAGACAAACTTATTTCTACAGTGTTGTCAAATATTGAGTGCTTTGGTTCTTCGAAATCGCTGTCCACCGATTTCGGCCCACCAATAGCTCCCTCAACGCTGTTGGGGCTTTGAGGTAAACTCGGTCCATTACCTGATTCTGTGTCTTCTTCATCCACTGCTTTCCCATCTGTAAATACACGTATATATTGCAGTTGTGTACATAAAATATGAAATATTATATTAAGAAACAACACCTACAACCAGTTGGTTTTAATTAATTAAAACAACAAAAATTGCAGACTCTATTTACAAATATGCGTAGCTTCGTTAGTTATTTATTTTTCTTGTTACCACAACGGAAAGTTATATCTTACTGTTCTTAAGATACACATGTAAGAAATACAAATTTTACTATATTCTAAATCTTTAGTCAATAGTCAATTTTAAACGCCTATCTTGTCGGCAAAAATGTTCTCTGTGTAATTCTATGATGAAAAAAAATTTGGACAAAGTATAAATAAAATGTTAGTGTTAGTCTCGGTCGGGTATGTTCGCTACATTTACACTGAAGCAAAAGCGTTACCATATACCTTTAACCACTGTCGGGCCTCGATGTGAGGAGGGAAAATAAAGTGCCGCAACTTCGGGATCCAGTTCGTCGGCATTAAGATCGCTAAGATAAATTCCCTCTGATTCCGGATTGTGTCTTACGCGAGAAGTCTTCTTCATAAAGGAGAACATGCCACTGAGCATAGATCGGTGTGCATCTGCTGCCATTGAAAAAGCGGTTAGCGAATAGTTAGCGATCAAGCGACTCGGAGTTAGTTTCTTCCGTTGAAAAAGAAAGATTAAGATAAAAAGAAAGAATACTGGTATATTAAGATTTTATTACGAAGTCGCGACTGTTAGCCCCTCAAGACATAAACGAGTAAACGAAAGATCTGATAGTGGCGTTTTCCATTTAGAAATATACAATGTGGTGTGTTAATCATGAACCTCGTTTATAGTATGACTATAAACGAATAACTTAATGACAAAATTATATACTAACTGTTGTTCGGCTGATTAGCAGTCGCTGAGGAACTCAGCGAGTTCCTGTGCGACATATGCGCTGGCTCCGGAGGTGGGCTAGGCAGTTCACCCCATCTCCAGCTTTGCTGATGGCTCTTGTCGTCTTCCCTCTCGCTACCCTCCTGAGTGATCTTACGCATCTCGAATTCCGTGTCCGACTGAACGGGCGAGGACGGTCTGGATTCCTGATTTCTTTCGAAGATAACACAACGAGTCAATAAATATATCTCACGTATACCGCGGAAAAAACTGCATGCAGATCACATACTTTGTAACTTCCGTGTCGCTGAAGAAGTGAAAGTCGGTTTCTGGGCGTATTTCGACTGTGTCTTGAGGAGATATTGACATTTCCACTGAGGCACTTTTCTTCTCGTCTTCTGTGACTGGAGTGGGACTTTTCAGGATCTTCAATAAATACATATATTATGAGAATGGAACATAACATTTTTATTAGAGTGGTAGTGTATTACTTACAGTTTCGTTGATCGATTCCTCGGTAACAATCACATCGGTCTCGCTCATCTCCGTTTGGCTGCTGCTGCCATTGCTGGTCTTTCTCTGTGATCCTTTCTTCTTCATAATACTCTTCCTCTTGCGTTTCCTCTTGGTGGAACTAATACTCTTTATCTCTTCGACGTTCTCCTCCTTTGAGTTTTTCTTGCTCAAAGATGGGTTCGACTCGTCGCTGGACTTTTCTTTACTGCTGCTTTGAGGATCGTCCGTGATTGGCCTGAAATCGTTTTTCACCACGCTGATCTTGCGAATTCTCTCAGATGAGGTAACAGCTACGAAGGATTTGGGCGTTGACATCGTTACTTTGGGTTCTTCATCGTTGATGCCATCCATATCGAATATTTCATCGTCCTCGTCTTTGGACTTGTCGCGCTTTTCCTCCCATTTTTCATCTTTCTCCTTCCAGTCACTCAGTAAAGCTTTCTCAAATTTCTGTCTCTGCTCGATCGGCAATTCCGGGAAATTTTCCTTAAACAATCGCTCTTTGTCCTCTGTTTTTAAGGCGGAATATTGTTCCCTGATCATCTGCTGCTTCTGCAGTGTCGATATAGTGCCGAAGCTCTCCTTAAACATCTCGTCTCGCTCTTCCGCGGTCAGTGAGGCGATCTGTAACCACTTCTCACGATGTTCCGCAGGGAGATCAGAGAATTGTTCTATTAGGAATTTCTCTCGTTGGTCAGGCGGCAAGGCGGACATCTGCTCCCATTTCTCGCGTTCGATGGAAAGAACAGAATCTATGAGAATTTTTTCTCTCTGTTCTGGAGGCAGATCTGATAGGAGATTGAATCGTGAGGGTGGAAAACAGTTGTCATCTGGTATGGGTGAACAGGCCAGATGTGGTGGAATTTCTCTGTCAGTTGGTGATCCATCTGAGCCAACTTCTTCCACAAAAAAGGCTTCACCAGAATCCCCAAGTTTCATATGAATTTGCCTAGGTTCCCCATTTATCTCAATGTCCACCTGTAAGAAAAACAACTCTTGTAGCTAACAAAGTATATTTTAAGCGTATTTGCATATGTAAATATAAATAGTTAACAAATATATATATATATATATATATATATATATATATATATATATATATATATATATATATAATAAGTTTTAAATAAAGACACAGAAAAAGTGATCTCTGATATCTTTACATATATTTGCACAATAATAAATAATCTTATTAATAGAAAAATAGAAAACAATTATAATGAGAGAATACATAATGAATTGACTTTGAAAGTAATTCTTCCAATTAATCATCCAGAATATATCTAATGCAAAATATATTTAACAAAAAAGTAACTTCTAATATTTTTAGAACAGAAAATATTTTTCTCATATAAAAAGAAAAACCATTGATCTTTAACAACACTAATATAAAATCAATACATCTTACAACATAAAGATAGAAAATACAATTATAAGGAAAATACATAGCGAATTAATTTTGAAAGTAATTCTCCCAATTAATCACTCAGAATGTATTTAACAAAAAAATGTTACTTTTGATATCTCTACATCTTTAAAATCGAAAATATTTTGAAATATATTTATTTCAAAACATTTTTTTACAAAGATAGATGGTTCTTCTTTTTGTATAAAAAAAAAACCATTCATCTTAACAAAGCTGATATAAGAAATAATGTATATCTTATAAGATAAAGTTAGAAAACAAAATTATAATAAAAGAATGCATAGCAAATTATGACCTTGAAAGCAATTCTTCCAGTTACCCAGGATGTGTTAAACAGCAAAAACGTGAAAAACAAGCAGTATAGCAATAACTCTGATCAGATGACACACTAAATATTATATTTTGTCACCATTATCAGCGCTTACGCAGCGGTAAATTCCCGATAGTCTTTAATGCGTCGTAGACTCACCACTTTTTCTCTGGAGCGAAGTACGCCGAGCTTGCCGAAGCGGACGTGGAAAGGCGAGCACGAGAAGGAGCTGTCCGGCTGCTCGACGACGACGACGTCGATCGCACCGGTGAGGGTCGCCGCGTTGATCTCATTGTAGAAGTCGCGGAAGTTGCTGATGAACTTGCCGATGTAGTTCATACTGTACATCTTAAGTCCGCGCACCACTGGCGGTGAGATTCGACCAACAGAGGAGCACGATCAGCGGAGTATTCGAAGTTCGCGGTAGCGTTACGAAGGAGATGTATATCTGTCAGTCTTGCGACTCTCTCCCACGGCACGCGAGAGGGAGAGAGAAAGAGAGAAGGAGGGAGAAAGAAAGGATACGAAGGAAGAGAAACCACCGAGGGACACTGAGACTTTCCGACTCGGGAGATTCAGCCGATCATCTCCGGGACGTCGTGGTGTCTCGTCGACGACTCCCCCGACACGTCGGTCACAGGTCGCTCTTCGGCAGCCGATGACAACGTCTGGCGAGTGAGAAAACTCGACGACGATTCGTTGCGACGCTGTCACAGTGAGCTGTCAAAAGCGTCCGTGGAACCGCGAGCACTGTCGCAGCACTACGTGTGTGTTTGTCACGCGAATTTGTCGATTAAGACGTGACGCGCTTGACGACAGGACGTCGATGTGCAGGACACCAATGCACGCACGGAGGTCGGTGACGGAGCGTGAAGAAGTCACAAGCGAGATGCCTTCCGCCGATCCTTTGTTCGTTGACGAGAGAACGTACCTAAGAAACCCACTTGACACTGCCAGCAGACGGCAGCCCGAACTGACGTTGCGCGTGAGGCACGAGTCGACCGGGCCAATCGGCGCCGCGGTCGCCCGGTGGTCGATACAGCGCCGTATCACGTGGTAGGCCGGTGGCGTTAGCGCGCGTTTCGAACTGAGTGTCGCCACGGACGCTGCCTGAAACAAAGAAACGCGACATCATTAAGTCACTGGCGCCCTCACGAGTGCGCGCGCGGCCATCGATCAGCCAATCGAACGCGACGACGGAACGATTTCCGTTGCGCGAGCGCGAGTTAACTTCCGTTCAATCCGATGGTTCGCGCGCCAGACAGAGTGAATGGCCGTTCTGATCTGCGAGATTCGTTGACGAGTTTTACAACGGCTTGGTCTCTTCGAGGACATGAATATCAGGTAGATTATTCTTTAACGATCGAGATCGTCGTGGTACGTCAGCGATATTCCGCGGATTCGATATCTCAGGGCGCGGGGATGCAACGTAATCTTGGGTGAGAATGACCGTTACGAACCGCGTATCATATATATGTATGTGATGTGTATGATGTATGTGTGTGTGAATTTAGCGGTGGATGAAAAATTTGCGCTCGAGTAGTTAACCTAATAAGTCGGCTATTGCGCGTGGTTTATCGTCAGGTCGTCCTGTGAACGATATGTTAGTCGTGGCCTCCAAAATCGCGTTAGTTTTTCCTGCGGTTTTTCGTGTAACGACGCTATGGCCGACATTGCGATACGTCACGGTTTTGATCTTCGAGGAGAAAATAAACAGATGAACTTTTTAATTTGATTGTCGTGATATCTTAATTAATGTTGCCCCGTGGAATCGTGCCTCCGAGGCGCGGGGATGCAAGATAATTTCGAACGAGAATAGACATTACGAAACAATGCACTCGGCGTATAAATATATATGTGAACTCCGTGGTGGATTAATAGATTCGTGCTCGATAAGTCCGCCACTGTGCGTAGTTTATCGACGGGTCGCTGCCCTAAGAATGACGCGTTTGGCGAACGACGCTACGACTTTGATTTTTGAGGAGAAGATAATTGGGTAAACTTTTTAACGAGATTGTCGTGGTATTTCGTCGATACTCCGCGGATTTGAACCCTCAGAGCACGGGATGGAATGTAACATATCGAGACAAGATATTTTGCGTGTATATAAAATTGTGTATGTGAACTTGGAACGGGATGAGTTAATAGATTTGCACTCGATTGGTTAACTCGATAAGCCATTGCTCGTAGTTTATCGAAGAGTCACCGCCCTAAGAACGTCGCGTTCGTCGCAATGACGTTTTGGCCGGCACCGCGATGCGTCGCGACTTCGATCTTCGAGGAGAGGATAAACAGGTAAGATTTTAATAAAATTGCCGTTCAACGATACTCCGCGGATTCTAATTCTCAGGGCGCGGGGATGGAACATAATCATTAGCGAGAATGGTCGTTACGAAACGAAGTACTCTGCGTATGTATGAATTTGGTAATAGATTGATAGATTCGGGCTCAATCCATAAGTCAGCCATTGCGCGTACTGCGTTTATTCCCGGGTTGCCTTAAAAATGCGTTCGTCATGGTCAGTCATATAACGACGTTAAGACTGGCATCTAGACGGTTCTAGATTTTGAAAATAGGGTGTCAGGTGAATTTTTAAGATAGTAACATCTCAACGGATACGTCGTGGATTCGAGTTCTCAGTTGAGATAAAAACGACCGTCACGGAAGCGAAGTATCCTGACGTTGTCGGGCATGTATACGCATGAATTGGCGAGTAGACAAATCACGCTCGATCGATCAACTCAATAAGTCGGCCATTACACATCGTCTCTCGCCGCAATCTCATCGGGTCGTCCTGTCACGTTCGTCGCAGTGCGTAAATCTCGTTAGTTGTATTTCGCGCGAATCGCATCTGGCAGGAATAAATGACGCTCCGGTCGGCATCGCGATGCGTCACGCGCGCCATTCAGGAAAGCCCGACAACGACGGCGATGGTCCCTCCTTCGCGGAAACCCGACGCGTGCTGGCTTGAACCGGGCGAGTTCGCTCTATTAACGGCCATTAGGTAGGATTATAAGTTATTTCGGTCATCCTCGACGAGAGTCGAGCTCGTTCGATGGAAGTCGCGAAACAGTCACGCGACTGCGGCTTCGCGTTTGTTTCACGATCGATGCCGAGTACGATCGTGAAATATTTCAACCTTCAGCGAAGCATTTCAGCTCCATATTGAAGACGCGCAATATGGCGGGGCGACCGAATTTCGCGATCAATATCGAATTAGATCGCGTGGACGAGTAGATATAACGAGTCAGATATTTTCGCCGACTCAATCTCGGCCAGTAAAAAGCATGAAACGATCGCGGACAGTGAGCCCCGTTCGAAAAATATATCGCCTTCGACAGATATTAAAATATTAGAGAACTGTGGAATATTGTTACACTCTTGACTGTCGGGAATGTTAATTTTGATAATATGTGTATTTAAAGACCAAAACAATAAGAATATTCAAGTTTATAGATATGTGTTTTCTAGAATTGGATATTTATTTTATTTAATTCTGAACATTCTTATTGTTTTGATCTATTAAATACGAATATTTAGATTTAGATTTAAGACATAAAATATGAATATATTAGATGTATACGTTATATTTTGTGTAGAAAATTTAAATATAAGTAAATTTAAATATAAATAAATTTAAGTATTTAAAGACCGAAATAATAAGAATATTCAAGATCAAGTACGTGTCCAGAAATTGATATATTTATTTTACATTTTTTGATTAGAACAAATTATAAGGGTGACCATGTTTTAGTATCGCGCATAAAAAATTCGACGAAGAAATTTGTCTTCTCACAGCATTGTCCATTAAATCTTGTTTCACTGGAAGTAGCATAATACGCGCTTTCGATGCTTTTAAATGTCGCAATTTGAAATTCTGCTTATCGAATTCCGATCCCGCGTGTAAATTTACGCAATCAAAATTTTGCATATGTATTAAGAGTCAGGCGCATATTAAAGCTTATTATGGTTCCGCGGCAGTTTCTTTCAATCGCTGTTAATAATTATTATCGCTGTAAATAAAATGGCAATGCGTGTCTCTTTTTTATGTAAATGATGATGAATTTCCGTTCGCGTCTGCCTCGATATAAATGCTTCAATATAATTGATTAAAAATAGTTTATACACTGTCGTTATAAGACACTCTAACGATATAGAGTATATAAAGTGACGAATGCTACGAAACGTTGCTTATTAATGCACACTCGTGCAGTTATTGAACTGAACTTTTATTGATCGAAGTATTTATGTTCTTATCTCCGCACTTATATTGATCTATTCAGCCGAGTTGTTATACTTACGCTCTACGTTGCGAAATGTAGAGAAATCAAGATCAATATTAATGTCATGTTAAATCTTTCAATTGCATAGTCTTTCAACAGTACATTTGATTCAGATAACATTTATTAAGTATATTTGCTGAAATGCAGCGAAAATATTTTTTTATTCCTTACCCAGATAGCATAGAGAATTCAAAAAGAATTCAATCGTATGTTACTAATTCTGAGTTCATTTTCAGATGCAAAAAGAATTCTTTAAAGTTTAGTTCAGTGGAAAGAATTTTTTTTGCATCTAAAAATGAACTCAGAATTGGTGACATACGACTGAATTCTTTTTGAATTCGCTGTGCTATCTGGGTACTCAACGACTTTGCGATTTTTCTATTAACAAAAACACATTCTAATATTATTTTTCATTTCAGCTCGATGTTAACTGTCGAAATTAATTTAACTTGTAATACTTTCACTTACAGGTCAAGCCGTTCGCGTGCCACGTGGTGATTTTCCGTAAATTAACATGTGACCTTTACGTGGAATAATGATAGACCATGGAGAAAGAACACACGGAATAGGAAGAAAGAGTCAAAGCGCCTCGAATTCGCTTGGCCGCCATTCGGTTTTAAAGGTATGTGTAGGCGGCACACGTGCACGCACTGTAAAAATCTTGAACGTTGTACTTTGTTCGCGAAACTCGCGTGGGCTGCATGCAGCTGGCACTGTCAAGGTTTAATGACGGTATCGTCCCTCCTTTTCTGTGCAGCGCAGGAGTCTTCGCGATTGGACAATGGTCAACATAAGGGAACTCTCCACGGTGGTATCTCAACACATTTCAACGGCAGAACGTCTTGACGATGAGAAAAGCGATTGCAGGCGACTCGACACATGTCGGTGAGTCGCAACGCTTTTAAAAAGGAAAGATCCCGTCGCCTTTTCTTCATCGTAAACGCTCGCGCAACAATATTCGCTCGTGTCTTTTTTTCTCGCCACGTAATCGCTCCGATTCGCCACGTAATGATTATCTAGCAATTAATCGGTAACACGTTTTGCGATATATACATTGAACGTTTTCGCGTCTTGAACACGACTTTTAATACGGCTGATATTGTCGATATTATTCTCTTTAATATAATTTCTAGACTAGAAGAAAAAATATATAAAAAATATTCCGTGAATACTATGATAAAATATTTTCTTAAATCTAAATTCTTTTATTTAAATAGAATAAACAATTGACTATAGTTATTCAAGAATGATGCAACCTATAAAATTATGATTTTTTTAGTTTTTTTTTTCACTAATAGGTAGTCCATACGTCTTTAGTTAAAAAGACTTTTTATTTCCTACTAGTTGTAGATTTATATATCAGTAACAAGTAAATATGTTATACCCATGGAATAAATATTTTTTATTTTTAGGTATTTTTTCTCTCAAAGTAATATGCAAAAAATTTACAAAATTATTAATGTTTTAATACATACAATTATGCATACATAAATAAATAAATAAATTATACATACATAAATATTTTTTATATCATTTTTTGTTTTTTTACAAATGTAGACAACAGTTTACATTTGCACTGCGTTTCAGTCTGCACCATTCTCTAACGAATGACTATATCTCACACGACTTTTCGCAACGTAAATTACACGTTAATTAAATTTTATTGTGAGCGTGTGCACTACCGTATTTTACAGTCATTAGCCACGGAGCTTTGCTAACACGCGTTAACGGCGCTTGAGAATGATCGAATTTTATACGGATCGCGAATTACTAAATGCAGAATTTAATCATCGATTATCAAACGACCAGAGGTTGAATGCGATGAAAGTGCAGTAAAGCGTTGATAATGAATTCGTATCCTAATTCGCTTCCCGAAGTCGAGCGTGCGAACGACGGACTACCATTATCGCGTGGCAAGAGCCTACTTTGCTCCTCGGCTCGGAGAATAGCTGCGCAAAAAGGTCGATCACTTTCCTGCGGCTTGCGTAAAAGAGAAGGTTGCGCGAGTGAAACGCTCGCCGCATGGCGACGGGATCTACTTGCTGCTTGTAACGTTTAAATTTATTTATCTGCATTGGCGCCTTACGAAACTGCGCATTTAGCGCGGATAATTCTCAGTTTGTCCTCGGATTCTCGGCAAAAGTCACGTTTTTCGTAATTCCAATCACGAAAGGAGCAGGACATTTTTAATCCTCGTACGCATTAACCTTGTGCGCGTTGCTTGTTTTTATTTCGTTTCAAGGATCTGCTTGATTTACGTATGTATCAGATATGTGTATAATTCATAAGTTATATAATTTCATTTGAATTCACTTTTTATTGAGTAAAATTGAAGTCGTCTACAGAAAAATATATTCATGTATTCACAATATTTTCATGTATTCAACATTTTTCAGTTATTAAACCCGGTGTGAAGTATATTGGGCTAGAGTCACAGCAGATCCTTAGGGATCTAGATGACTCAAAATGCTGTAAAGCAAACTTACTGCAATCTATTGCTATTATTAAGATAAAAGTACCAATTTCCGGACGTGTATTTAATTCTGGATATTCTTATTATTTTCATCTTCAAGTACGAGTATTTAAACTTTCAACATAGAATATACAATATGTATGAATAGAATATGTATATATTAAATATTTATATATATATTTTTGTTAAGAATTTAAATATTTATATTTTAAAATCAAAATAATAAAAATGTCCGGGCATTGGCACTTTTATCTTACTACTACTATTTTTCTGCGAGAACATACTCTGAGAAAAAAATATTTAAAAATTAACAAATTAAATTTATTTAGGTGGGTATCATTAACATATCAAATAAAAATCTTTTTATTTAAATAAATATGTTAATGGTGCTCACCTAATAAATATTTGTTAATTTTAGATATTTTTTCTCAGTGTACATATTGAAATATGAACGACGTTCGCTGCTTGGCGCCGTTTTGAAAGAAGTTACGTCTCGCGTGAGCCACTTCTATGCAAATTGACTAGCAGTTTTCTAGAAAAAAATTCGCGCAAATAACGCGGAAATTCGAGGTAACAACGATACTACGAAACAATGTGCGTGAGAAGTTGGCGGTTAAAGTTTCAACTCACGTCTCAAGAGTACAGAGAGCCATAAAAATTATCGATTATGCGCTCTCTCGCAGAAAATGTGTATGCTCCACGACCTCATCTTTTAGTCTTCGTAACTAGAGAGAGGTTTGCCTCTTTGACTGATAAATAAGAAAGTTTCTCAGCGGTTCTCAACGTGTCTCGGTATTCTCCATGCGGCAATCGCTGTCTTCATCAGTCAATCATGATTAATGAAGACTGTGACTCCATAATTACTCATCCAACCATTATCCTGTTTATAAATTGTCGTATAAGTCTCATACACAGGATATTCGAATCTCATGCGAACAGATGTTTGCGTTGCAACAATTTGGAAGGGAGAATTTTCACGAATGGGTGCTTCTAACAAGGTTATTAAATTTTGCGCGTCGAAGCGAGCAGACTTAAAAAGGAAAGAGATATACAGACCATCAGTTGGACCGGTTTCAAAATGCCGAACAATATTTTCGCGAAATTACATGTCGGGAATATTCCAACGTGACGTTCGTCTGTCCACTCGTTCGCTCGTTGTTGTGACATTGACGTGACGAGTGTAAATTTCGTTAACGTCTACGTCCTATCGTCGATAGAAGGGTACGCGAGCGCTATTAATAGATGCAGATAACAAATACTTAACATCGACCGGGTCCAAAAACGAGCCGGATCGATATCTCGTGTGTCGCTCGAGATATTTTTAGGTGAACACTGCAAAATATATGTTAATCTCATAAGTGGTACATGAATCGTAAAAGTAGCACAGATATCAGTTTCGCAACAGATTCATAACTACACAAAGAGAAGTTTATAACAAAAATTATTATAGGATTTTGTAACCGAGAAATAGGTCGAATATTCTCCAATAGTCGACTATCCTTTCATTTCGTATACTAAGAGAAAAAATGCCTGGAAAATAAAGCATATTTCTTCGGTGGGTGCTAACAATATATTTACTTAAGTCTAAATTTTTTTGTTTAAATGGAATAAATCACTTTCGTGAAAAGCAACATGCGGTGCGTTTTGGGAAAATATATTTTCTCATTGACAACAAATTTCTTTTTCTTCTCAAGGAAAAAATAGTACAAGTAAATGTATATTATCAGTATCCACTGAATAAATATTTCTTATCTCTTTTGATGTTTTTTTCCTTCAGTATATGTATTATTTATATTTTAGAAACACTAGATACTACTATAGCATAAAACATCGTTTGGCCGAATATACACGTGTATCTATAAATTCCTTTGTCTTTAAGATAATATGACAATAATTGCGATACAAATTGTTCCGGTTACAAACAATTCGCGGTTCATTACTCCCCGCATCAGTAAACACGCGTTAAAAGCATGTCGAGGCTCAACGAAACGTCCCGTACGTTTCCCCTCGGAATGCGCCGAAATGCAGATTTAAACACTTGGACGATTGCCTAACACGCGCTATCGCGACCATGGCCAGGTGACGACGCGAACGGTTGGGCGATTTAATGATTGTCGCAAAAACATGCGAATTTTTAATTGTGACAGATTACGAAATATCTCTCTCCGTTTTGTTGACATTGTTTGATATTTCCTTTTACACCGCAGTACATCGACCTGTGCCGTTTCGTTACACAATGTCTTATCTGTTGTTTACCGCTGCGATATATTGCGATGGTTTCGCGAGTCATTCGGCCAAGAGCCAAAATCTCGCGAAAGACTTTCGAGCTAGAACGCGAAGTCTCGAGGTCGCGCGCGCGCCACTAGTCATTGTTGATTCGTCGTCGCGGTTCTCAAACAGATGATGACGTTTGTGGCCGCTTAGTATTGCTCGTTACAAAGTGAAGTAACTGTAGAAATGAATACACGCAAAATAAATGTACAAGTACATTTAGAAAAATGCATTCAAGTAAATGTTACTTGTTTCATATATTTCGTAAATTTATATATCCGCTTATATATCTATCGTAAGTTTATCATATTAAATATTTGAAACTTTATTTGTGGAATATAAGATTTATTCGCAGAAGTAAACTTTATATCCCACACATAAATTATCAAGTATTTTTTTCTAGTATAAACATCAAATTTATTCAAAATATATTTTGGATCTTAGTAAGTTTGGCATTTTTCTATTAAAAATATTAAATCACAATAAAAATCCGGTTTGCTTCTATTATATAGAATCGAAGTAACTTTTCTTCGGTGAAGTTTTATACGGCAATGAGCATTTAGAAAATTTATGAATATATTTTAAGACTTTTAATATGAAGATATCTTTTGTTGAAGATAGCCAGTAAGGGAGAATTGCCGAAAAAATTGTAACTCATAAATTTCTTTATTATTATTAAATATGAACATCTAACGTTCAAAATAAGAAATAAATGAACAATAAGAAATATAAACAAAAAAATATCAAATTTTATCTTATTTTATGCGTGTTATAAACATTCGAAAAGATCAGATGTGATTTAAGAGACCAGTATGATTTCAACAACCCTCTCTCTCTTTCTCTCTCTCCTATTCAAATTAAGCAGTTGCATTTCGTAGTAGAATGATAATTTTCTATATGTAGGCGATTCGCGAAAAATAAACAAATATTTTGGAAATTTTCGCTGCGGACTAATAAAGCTTTTGAAAATAATTTTTATGAAAGGATTTCATGAAAAAGATTAATTACCGTTTGCGATGCGAATACGACGTAAGCACGGCAAATGATGTTTCTTATCATCGATGTGTGATGAGTCATCGTTCGTTTGAGACGGTCAAAGTCACGATTTATATTAACACGGAAAACATAAAGCGTGAACTCGGTGATTCACGTTAAATTATCTTCGTGCCTTTCGTTCCGCCACGGCAAACGATTTTCATGACACCTTTTTTGTTTTACCTCTTAATTATATATAACTATATAATATATTTATATTATATATATATATATATATTTATTTATTTATTTATTTCGGGGAGTATACGATTGTTATTAATAGTCGTTAGTTGAAACTTCTTCAAGTGAGATATTTAGATTTGAATTTAAAGCTTGAATTCAAATTTGAGTTTAGATCTAAGTTTTTCAATTTAATCGTACGATATGTGTGACATTGTATTTGTAATTGTGATTCCACTGAAAAACTTACGTCTGACTCCAAATTGAAATCTGGAAATTTCACTTGAAA